GCCTAGAGGCTTGGTCTAGCCTAGCTAGGTAACATCGTTCGTTCATACATATGTATATTGAGCGTTACGTACGTATTAGGTCAAAGGTTACCACAAATTTAACCCAACCTCTATTTTACGAATCCCCCGATTTACATATGTCCTCCGGTCCCGTACTGTACGAGGTAAAATCGAGGTTCTACTGTACATGATTTGTTAAACTTTTAAGATGATTAGTAAGTCAAAACAACTAAAACATAAAATATTAAGATATATAGTTTTATTTTAAGCATACTTACTGCTAAATCGATTTCGTATTGAGCAGCCATGCCAGGGTCCATCAAAACCTCTGGTGGTTGAAGGGCAGGCATTTCAGAAAATTCCATGTTTGCATCTCCGCACAGTTTTTTTGTAAGCCACAGGAATGGTTTTTCAAAGTTGTAATTGCTCTTAGCACTGATATCATAATACTAATATTAACAAATGAAGTAGAAAAAAAAAAAATTAAAAACTTTCTTATCAGGAAATAAGAAACAAAATTAGAAAGAGTAGTAAGTTTCAAAAGTACTCTGCCGTTAGGAATTCCTCAATACAATCTTTAACTGTCAATCAATTATGGAGTCTTGCATAAAAGTACAACACAACAGATATTATCTTTAAGAGACTGTAATGTAATTGGATTTATATAATACTTTCTTCCGAAATGGTCTCAAAAGCACTGAGGTGTGAACTAGCTTTTAGAGCCCAGTCACACTTATATCAGCCCATGGCCACCTTAACTACAGCCTACTCGAAATGACTGTTCCATTTGCGGTTAGTATTCAAGTTGGATCAGGGTCCCACTGCGAGCGTTTATACTTCCTCCTTTGGACGTCAAGATTGACCGCTATCAAAGCGACCCAGTTTTGGTTTACGTTCAGGTATGAAAATGAGTCGGCTTAAGGTCCTGCATTGTGGGACCTGAGCCGACTTTAAAGTTGGACTAAATTTAGGTTGGCTCTGGGCCGGCTTAAAAGTTATTGATTGCTCACACTTAAAAAAATGGTGGCCCTGAGCCGACGTAATTATTAAGTGTGATGATCTAAAATTAACTCTTTCACCTTCAGGGAGATGGAGGTGTCAAAGGAAAGAGTATGTTTTGTACTCTTCTAAAAATGATGAAAATAATGGATGACAATTAGGTTTACTTTGGTTTATATTGTCCATAATGGTTAAAATCCTTATATAATGGTTAAACGTATTGCTTACTTGTAAGTTCTTCTTCCTGTGGAACGTTATGCTCTTCGCCTTGACCTTACGTTCCTTAATGTCGACCTTGTTCCCACATAACACAATCGGAATGCCTTCACAGACGCGAACTAAATCTCTGTGCCAATTTGGTACATTTTTATAAGTGATTCTTGAAGTTACATCAAACATGATGATGGCACATTGGCCTATTAAAAAATATAGAAAGAATTTCTTATACGTTTTTTTTGTGAAACTGCCATAAATATAGAGCATAAAATTTTATTACTGCACACGAATGACATTGCAACATCACACTCTTTATCATCATGCAATAGGATCACAAGCAAGAATTATAGGGTGCAATTTTTTTCTATTGTTTTTATTTGTCAATAACCATTTTCCCCCCCAAATATTTCCTCTGCCTAGACATATATGCAGGAGAATTTTTTTTAATATTTTGATCATCGATGACTAAAACCTTATTTTATTTATTACACAATCAATATTAATAAAAACTCACTAACAGTAACAGGTTGAAAAATTATAAGCAGTCCTTAATTTCAACGTACAATAAAACTAAAATTAACAAAAATTAAAAAGCATATACATTTTTACATTGCAGAGGTTCTAGCATTTGGAAAACTCCTCATCTTGTACTTTTCACACAACTGCAAATTCTCAGTCACAATAATGTTATTTATGATATTAAAAAATGATGATGATTACAGATACATTATAAATATATGACAAGACACTTTTAAAGTACTGATAGGTACCTTGTATATAATAACCATCTCGCAGCCCACCAAACTTTTCTTGTCCTGCTGTGTCCCAAACATTGAAAACAATTTCACCTCGGTTTGTGAAGAACGTCAGAGGATGAACCTCAACACCCAGAGTGGCTGTAAGTGAAGGCAGGCTTGTGAATTTTTGTCAGTTAATAACACATATAACTAATTCCTGCATATGTTTAAAAATTTGTTGTGCTGTTGCACATGCAGTGAACATGGAGATCACGGTTGTGGTTCTCAACAATTTAGCTTTTGCAGACCCCTCGAGACATGTCTTCAAAGACCCCCATGTTTAAGTATTACTCTTTGTTGATATTCCACCAGTAAGGTTATAGACAGAAGATGATTTGCCACAAAAGTACAAAATTAAACAGTGGCGGATTCTTAAATTTGAAATAGCAGGGTGCCCAGAAAGTCAATTTTACAGACATGGGCCGATATCACATCAGCTCCAACCATAACTGAGGTACAAAATGTTACTTCTAGATGGGTGGAAATGTCACGTTCAAGACTCAAAATTTGAATGCATGTTTACACCCATTATTTTTAATTTTGTAAAGATTCAGGACCCCTAATTCTGCATATGTCAAAGGTATCTGATTATTGACAAGGCACTTAATGATTAGCAATAGATGTTTAAAACACTGAAGACAAGAAATGGTCGGACGGACGGACCCCTTTATTACTTTGGCAATAAACCACGCCATGGCTACTGTTCCGAAGATTACATACAAATTTAAGGTGTTGATTGGTGGTTGACCCTAACCTTTTCAGTCTCAATATCTTATAATGCACTACAGCATGTCAGAACAATATCCATTTCAATTTGTGTCCTTATTATGCATCTGTTAAATGGATAGAGTAAATATTTTTTTGTTTTATTTTTCAAATTGAAAGTTTACCAACTTAAATTAATTAGCATTAAACTTAAGGGTTTGTGTCAAAGTATGAAGAACCCATACTAATTATGCATCTGTTGACAGCATAAATTGTTTAATTTAATATTTTATTCATTTAAATCCAGAATAGGCAATTTGAAATATTTTAATTTATTTTCCCAGTTATTATCCAAGCAAGACAGTTCATCTTTAATAAATACATGATTTTAACCACAAAATCATGCAGCATGTAATCTTAGTAACTCACCGATATATTTCTTTTCAAATTCTCCTGTCAAATGACGCTTGACAAAGGTAGTTTTACCAGTTCCTCCATCACCAACAAGTACAAGCTAAACAAGGAAAAAACAAAAAAGATACAAAAAACAGTAAGGTTCCATGACAAATAAATTAGATTATCATCCCCACCCGCATCACTTTAATCAGAATCACAGATATTTTTTGTTATAAATCATAGCATATTGTTTCTGTTGTCTTGTCTGTTCAAAGGCTTAATTACGGCTTGCTATTTATTTTAGGAGTGAAGTTGAAGTGCTTGGTGTTTAAGATGCTTGCCTTCCAATCCCAGGGTCCTTGGGTTCAATTTCTGACAGCAGGATTTTTCTCATGAGATTTAGTTAAATTACAGCATAAATGAACCCTGTGAGGGGACAGCAGATATCTACAGAGCATGACACCCAGTATAACGAAGGAAAAAAATTAACCAGGATTTACCTGCTTACCTTACTGATGCTTACCTTATTGAAAATGACAAGGCTGAATTTCTACATAATTAATCATCCATATTATGCTCTTAGTGCAAGTTTCAATGGCCAAAATATGAAAGACCATACAGTGCTAACAATACAGTTGAAATGGTGGTTAACATGTAGAGGTATAGAAATGTCTGGAAAATAATCTTTTGATAGCAGTGGCAGATCTAGGAATTCAAAATAAAGGGAGCCTAATGGGAAACTTTTACAGATAGATAGTGGGTCCAGACGACCTGAGCCCTCTGGTTGGGGCTGAGGTATAAAATTTTATGGTTATGGTACCTCCCTCATTAGAATATGGATGAGAACAACCAACACACTCCTGTAGTAAGACCTTTCCAACCGCACACATGTTCTAGGAGCTAGTGAAGTGCAATTGTGGCAAAAAAGGTATCTAGAATGGCACGTTGCTAGCTCACTGCAAATGAGCAAATGTTGCGTACACGAAGACGTGTACATGTGCGGCATCAGACAAAATCTGTGAGAACGCTCAACCAAAAGTAGCCTCCAATTTAGAAAGTGATGATGATAATTTATCAGCCACAAAACATAACCCCAAACTCCCCCACTTACAAAAACAGGGATGTGACCACTGGGACATAGTTCTACCTAATAAATGTTAATGTTTCTGTCAAAGCAACTTGCATTTAATAATACCACCTAGCATATATGAAACTGTAATATGCTTGATACTAGGGTTTTTACAAAATCTCTCAATTTGTGTTATCATTTGAGGCGAATACTACGATATAATACCATAAAAAATACCAAAAATAGTGTTTTCAGCTCACTTAATTTTTGTTTCCTGTCAATTATGTAATTTTGTTTTAGTCTCAACTCAGAATGGTGATTTTGGAAGGGTGATTGTTTAACCACTTTTAATATTTTATTAAAAGTGTCTATTTTTAGGTAAATCCATTATCTACAATAACATTATTATGATCCTGCCTCTCAATAACAAAACAATTCATGACTGTGTTTTTTTGCCAAATGCTTTTGTTTTAACCCTAAACTCAAATGTACCGGGATAGTTACAAACATAGTTACAAAGTATCGGTATTAGAACTTAGAAAACCAGCTAATTTTGTACTAAAAAAAACTTTTTACGAATAGAGGGCAGCAGACAATGACATGTTTAATGGCGAATATCACTGTTATTACGAATTTTTTTATAATAATGCGATGGGAAAAAATATTCAGTGCACGATTTCCTTTCCAATGATACCACATAATACTTGTTTTCCAAGATGGCGGCCAGTTATCCTTCTCGAAAAAAATTGGCACCAACGTTGTTCTTGTTCTGAGTCGAAAAAAGCGTTGTTGCCATAAATTAACATGAATTGTGAACACTATGACATGAACCCTATTAACAAAATTGGCCAATGGTTCTTACTCTCACTGACATATCTGTGCGGCAACTTGAGCAAGACGATAGTGGTTGGAGTTATGACGTCAGAGATTTTGGGTTAATTTTGAATTCCGAATGGCTGCACAATGGGCTCGGGGGAAAAAAAAAATTTCACAGATATCTTTTTTTGCAATGTAGTTGCCTCATGTCAGTGTGTCGACTTACCTTAAATGTTGCTGCTACTGCATTTTTCAGGCTTCCCACATTTGCCATGATAAATTTGTATGCAAATTCTGTAAGAAAAATAACTATACTATTAGCATCAAGAGTGGAAGATACCCTGCCTGCGCAAGGAATATATCCTCCACACATAAATTTGGCCTAGAAATCCGTCCACACATTTCAGAAAATATTGGGTGAGTTCCACGCAGATTTTGCCGAAAATTAAGCTTTGACATAAGGGCACATAGAAAAAATTATTAGATTATCACTCTTTTTTTTTTTAAATTGATGAGGGAGAGCGGTTTTTTTTTTTTTTTTTTTTTTAATCGGTACAATAAATTATTTCGCTTTTGTTTTTATCAATGAGGGAGGGACTGTTTATATTTGGCCTGTACCTGGGCCGGTAATAGTAAATATTGTATAAAAAATGGTTTAATTTTATAGTTTTTTAAAGAAAATGTATTTGAAGTCACAAAATTGCATTGTTGTTTTATGCTGCTGAAATAATTGATGCAGCAAAAAAAATTTTTTTAATTCCTGCATCAATATTTCGCCGAATTTTTGACGCGGGCGGGAGTGATAATTAAATTTTTCTATTTGGCCTATTCTTAGTATATAAACAATGTATTATATGCAGTAATTACAATTCTGTGCACCTATTTTTCACAAAATTTTGAGCTGGTTTTTGCAGTATCATCCACGCACTACTGCGTAATTAAAAAACATTTTACAGAGTATGGTCTTTGTCCATATGTTAAAATAGTAATACGTCCAATCATATACTTTGGCCTTTGCTATTTCTGCTACTTGCCTAGGGCCATGCCTTGGTGTGACAACTTCCAAGGCAGGGGTAACATATACTCAAAGACCTTTCACTTCAGTTACTTTAAATATTACAGTAGCCAGGTTTACAGAAAAACCAAGTATAATAATTTAGGGCTTATCTATTATAGGCCCAAGGCATGGGTTTTTAATTTCTTTTTCTTTAATGCCATCTCAAATTTTATTAAAATTATGTAACTGGAGAGCAAAACAAGTAAATCTGAGTTAAGTAGACATGTAAAAATACATAGTATTATTAAAATGTGCAAAAAAATGTAACAAGCACAACAGATTGATATGATTATTCGAGATTTAAAGAAAAGGTCAACTGGCTGAAACCGGAACATGAATAGGCTTACTGACGACGATGCACAAATACTGTACATCTATCTCTACCCAATTACTAATTCAAAACATGCGCACTGAAAATAAACAGATTCAAATTAGCAACAGTTTTTTGATGATTACCATCATTCAAATGGTTAATCTCACATATACAAATCAAATATTACTGTAACCACCCTAACGTCCTCACCTGTATTTCAGAAATAGACCTGCTTGAGAACGTTTTGTCCCGCCTGAAATTTGGGGGCAGTTCAGAAATTTCAAGAATAGTTAAGTGAGGCACATTTTAGAATGTTTTCAAATAATATATATTTAAATATAAATAATCATAAATAATAATATTCGCCAAAATATGTTATATTTACATTTTATAGTAATAATTAATAAGTTCTCCTATCTTTTTTATTTTGGTATTTGTATAATTTCTAAATCAAAATTAAAAAAAATATACATATCAAGCTCGAAGTAGTAAAGACTGTATTATGCAGTCCATTTTCCAAAATTGAAATCGAGATGGTCCGCTTACTAAACTGGTCAAAGGTTCTCGGATGATGTGGGCGACGCCTGTATTGTTGAAATTGGTGAATATTGGGGATAATCTTATTTGAGTATTTGCTCTATTTTGGTGGATTATTAATACATTTTTGGATTATTAAAACCGCTGCCTTGTACCTTAAAACATAAACTATTACAAAATGAGGGATAGATTAGGATCACTGAAAAGGGTGAGTAGATATCATTTATATAAAATGTTATTGATCGTAAGCAAGCCTGCCAAGCAAGGCTAGGCCCTAGGCCTCTTGCTTGGTAGGCTCCTCCTAAACAGAAACTAGCTAGGCCTAGCCTACCTGCATTGACTAGGCATACTACTACTATTAGGGCCTAGGACCTAGTTCCCTGCCTAGTCCTACCTGTCAAATTATCAGCCAACTTAGCCGGGAATGCTTACATACTCGGGTACTGTTAGGCTACCAGTTATGGTGTCATTCTAATTCTTAGTTGAGTCACGGCTCTTAACTCACTGTAACTCCACTATTCACTAAAAAGTTATTTAAGTGGCGCTGAGGGCTGGTTTTCTCATCATTGACTGACATTTTTTTAATTTTTGGAATTGTAAAGCAAGATGTACTCTAATTTTCCTGATTTTCTGGGTGTTGCATAATTGCGAACTAAGTGTAACTCATATGATTGATGTCTTGTTCGGCCTCCGTCCAGTTCATTTATATAATTACAAACTATTAATTACCTAACTTACCGGAGGTTTATTGTAATTTGTATGGAACACCAAGTAGAGTAATAAATATGAATTTTGGTATCAGATCACTATTTTGTTACATGGAAATCAGTTTAATAAATTTAATAAGTTGAAAATGATATAAAATGTGTCTCTGTTTATTATTTTAACTTTATTGACGATCACTATAATTTATTTTGATTTTTGAAACATTGGAAACAGAGATAACAATTCCTGGGAGAGGGAAGTGTTGGTCATTCTCTGAACCCCTTAAAGTAGGGGATTTCATACCAAAATGTTTCATTGCTACAAATTTGTTAAACTGATTGAAAGCAAGTTGAAAAATGTAAACATGACTTGACCGGTAGCATTGTAATATTAATTTTAATTGGCAAGCAAAAAGGTGTTGGTAGTACAGAAGGCCTACATGTAGTAGTAATCCCATGCCGGTAAGCTGCCATTAGGATAAGAATTTTGAGGGAAACCATGGATTTCTATCCTAAACCCAATGAATATCCCAAATGTTTTATTTGCCCTCAGCTTGAAAATTTGTGGAGGAGCTGTGGTAGCAACTATAGTGTCCCTGTAGCTCCACTGCACTTTAACTACAGACAACATGTACAAGGGATGCATACAAACATGGCCCTCTCCTGTTGAGGTGATGGTCAGGGCAGGAAAAATTATTTGAATAAATACAGTACTAAATGATAATAGCAATACTAATAATGGATTAAGTCAAGCTTTCACTACCAAAGTACAGTAGAACCCTTATTAAGGAACACCTTTCAGAACTGACTGAAAAAACTGTCCACTGAATAGGAGTTGGTCGTAGTGTTAAAAAATACATACCCTCACTTCACAGCCAAAATGAGTGTGTCTCCTTAATAGGGGCATTTTCAAAAGAGGGGTTCTACTGTAATAAGAGTGCACAGTTTACAGAACAATAGTAGTACTGTAAGATAGAACTGAATTCCCTATGGAAGTCCTTGGCCTAAATATTAAGGTAAATCAAATTAATTACTATAATCAATTACTCTTAGTCATTGAATCTATAATTAGCAAACCTGCACTCCCTTGGGAGTACAGGATACAGTAGTCTGCTGTAATAATCCATTTGTAGATCAGTAGATTGCTATTAACAAAAGTATATTTTTTTTCAGAAATTTTGTTTGCAAAATATCTATGGAGTGGTTGATTGATTGATTGATGGGTTGGTCAATAAAATATGTGCAGAAGTCTGTACATGGAATACTCATTTTTAGTTTTGTGCTGCCTATTAATATTATTGTCTAAATTAAAAAAAAAAAAAATATCAACTTTCTGTGCCCATTTGGTAGTGTACAGTACACTGTACCTTTTTGCTGCAATGCATACACAACCGTTAATGTCCTACCAGTTACAGTACCCATTTACAGTATACGATATTCACCTGGGTAGGGAAAATCAAATGTAGGTAAAATGCCTTCTTAAAAGACAAGCAAATATCACAGCGGGCATTCAAACTCCAGGACCTCATCGTTATGTTAAAAATGTTAAAATATAGGGGAAGGTAGGAGAATAACCCATAACTTGCAGCGTCATTGTGCGGGATTGCATATAGCCGTGGCCGTCTCCGTGACTACTTAAGCGGCTGTAGAGAGGTGCCTAGTTCATATTCATATCATTTCACAATGTCAGGGGCTAATATGAACCAGCATCGGGGTAATGTCCTACTCATCCGAAAGATGCAATGGGTTCTCTAAAGTACACACAAGCCAGATGTGTACACACATTGGACGGTTCATTTTAAGTGCTTATCTGAGACTGGACTCTACCAACAAAAACCTATACAAAGAGCAACTCAAGTCAGCATACAGTAGATGTTATGGCTTTAAATAATGAGTTACTATATGTTGATAATGACTAAGTACTATTACAGTACTGTATCTATTTTTAATCATGTTTAGACTGATGATGATGAAGAAGATGGGCTTGGTCCGGATGATGTTGCTGTCAATATGGACACTATGGACAAATTCTTCGATAAGGTTTGTAGTTTTTAGCATACTGTAATTTTTCTAGAGCCGTAGCTTGGTGGTTAAAGATATTTGCTTTCCAATCCCAGGGTCATGGGTTCAAAACCTGTCACTGCTGGGTTTTTCTCACAACAAAAAAACGCTCCGCTCCATAAACCCTCAAAAGAGCTCGCAGTACAGTCCTTTTTTTTCGCTACCCTATATTTTCGCAATTTTACAATTTGAGATATTTCGCGTCATTTTATTTTTGCAATTTTATGATCTCCAGTCATTTTTTAACAGGATGCAGAAACCTACCATTACAGTATGTTCTATTTAGCCTATATTATAGCTAGAGCTTCCGATTTTGGTGGGGTTCTCACAATTTTTTGAGCAATTTCCTACCCTCCCGATATTTAGCCTAGCTACCTTTGGGCCAACAATGGGTAGGCCTAGGCCTACAGTACTACAGCCTAAATGATACTGTACAGTATTTAACTTTTAAAAAATGTGATTGAATGAGTGAAAAATAATACACAAAGAAATCAGTTGAAGGAATCAGTCTTATACTACCGTACAGTAGCTAGGCCTATACAGTACATTGCTTTTGAAGACAAAACTCATCATCCAGAATTTTGCTCACTCTAAATTTTCATGATTGTCGTTTTATCACGAAAATTAAGGCGCGCGCGAAAAAGAGGGCGGTACAGTATTTATAAAAATGGGTTTATATAGTGATGTTCATACTTCTGTAACTGTTGGATATGAACAAATTAACATAAAAAAAATTACAGTATTTGTAACATAATAGCAACATGGTTTCTTATCAGTGAGGTGGTTGTGCTATTTTTTAGTGAAAGATTACAGGTTTGTTAACTCAGACAGTCGCCATTGGCAGTGGGAATTTTGGCTTGTTGCCGCCACAGAAGTTCTCGTAGTAGTGTAGAGTACTTGAATACTGTTGAGTGTCTGTTTCGTTCGATTATTTTTCTTGCTGCATTTGTAATTTGGTCTGCCTTCACAATGACTGTTTAATTAATTGTTAATTTAGCAAACCTGCGTCAAATGAAAAATTCGTCTGAACTGTTATTAACGTTGGACACATCCAGATTTCGTATTCAGAATGCGTCATGGACGTATTCTGGATGCATCAGACGTGTCTAAGATGTGCAGCATTTATGGACGGTACTGTACTAAATGTATGTACTTATGGTTATTTTTATTTGTGAAAACTGAAACATTCTGTAACAAAATTAAAATTTAATAAATTGTTAATTTGTTCATGATTTTTGATCAGGTGGAAGAGATACGAGAGAACATTGACCGTATAGCAGATAATGTTGATGAGGTCAAACGAAAACATAGTGATATACTATCAGCTCCACAGCCAGATGAAAGTAAGGATCCTCACTTTTCAAATTAAAAAAAAAAAAAGTATTTTTTTTTTTTTTATAACTGGATGTTATAATTTTAAGTGTAAGTATTTCTTTGTAAGTAGTTTCAAAATAACATTTTGTCCACAAGGTTATTTGGATTATGTCCCGTATGCCTCAGTAATTGTACAGTATGCCTAACTGAATTTGAAACATGCATCCCAGAGTAGGACCATAATTTTAAAGCTTCAACCCTCACAGTGGCTTTTCTCAGGTTGGTTGGCCTCGATGATTAGGTGAGGGGTGCTAGGTCACAAAATAAAGGTGATATAAAAATAATTCAAGACATTTTCAATGGAGGATACCACTGGGGGAGCAATTTTATTTTGGTGGGGGGGGGCATTCTCCCTCATACAGCAAATAGTTTGGTCTACTATATTTTCCATCATTAATTTTTATTCGTTAGTAGAAAAATCTTATGTCAGCATGCCAAAAATAATATAAGAAGATAATTATGTGATAAAAAAAAAAAACTGATTTATACATAATTTTTTCAAATTAGTATTCATGATTTTTTACCTGTAGCTTATTAAATATTCATTTTACACCTGGAGTACATACAAAGTACACATGGAACAGATTTCATATCATTTAATTGTTGTCAAGGGATTTATATTTTTCTTAAATATTATGGTCATTCATTTTTGTGTTTAGAGTGAGAATCTGCTGCTATTATTGTTGTTAATTATGTTGCTTGGTGATATATGTACCATTACCATGGATGATGATTACCTAACTGTAGCATCATGGTTGCTACAGTATATACCATTAACATTTACCTACTTAAATGCAAATTAATGTTTTTTTTGTTTTTTTTTTAATGTTTGCTGTTGGATGGTGTTGCTGTAGTATTCAGTAAATATTGTATAGTACAATAATTCGAATCAGCTACAATTAGCTTTTTTTTAGCAAGTTTACTAAACTTTATTTACTATTTATGGACAAAAATTCTCTGTTTTCTTGATAAATTTACAGGCATTGATTTTTTATTAGATGTATAAAATATTGTTATATTAGTACTATAATTATTGATTTTTTTTTTTTTTTGGACAAGGGATGAAGGTACATTATGAATGTTACTGTACAGTAAAACAAATATAATACTGTAGAGTGTACAGTGACAAAAGCCTTTTCTTCACTCATTGAACAAGATTTTTATATACCTGCGAACCTGCCGCCCTCTACTTTAATAATGATGATTTCAAATATTTCAGAAATTATTCTTTTAATTTTTATTACGTCCGCCACTGCCTTAAAATCTCCAAAAATAACGTATTTCTTCCTACTGTAATTTTTATTTAACCACCCCATCGCTACACTGTTTACATTCATCGATACAATTTTATTTTAATTTTCTACTCCTTCTGGATGTTTTTGGCCAAAAATATAAATTGCTAAATAAGAAAATAAAATTTGCGGAACAAGATATAAACAAGAGCAATCACTCACTAGTCCACGCGTTAAACTGAGGTTACAGTACCTCTGTTCAGCGTTAATGCTTTGTTCAGACAAGGCTTTTTGTTGACACTATCAAAACATTCTTAAATCATGGCGGAAGAATCCTACGTGCTTAAATACAGTACACAGTGGCGTAAGTTATATTGGGTTTTCGGCAAGGGTTCCTAATAAAAATTAACAAAAAAATAAATAAATAAAATGTCTTAAAATTGGAAAAAAATTTAAAAAGCAAGTACGCAATTCGAACTTAAGACCTTTGATTTTCTAATTCCTTTAGAACACATCGCTAACCGACCGCGCCATCCATGCGATGTGTCCTATTAGTGGTAGGTAGTAATGTACAGTCCTTGCTGAAACCCTGTTTTGTTTTGTAGTGTACTGTAGGGGGCACCCTTGAGTCAAACTTAAAACTGGGTCGTGAATGTTTGTTGGAAATAACCTCTACAGTAGTTTATGTGTTCACAAAATTTCCTGCACGTCCGTTCAAAACTGGCGACGCTGGAAGCTTTTAAATTTCTGGTAACAACAAGAACAATAACAGCAACAGCAGTGAGGTTCTGGAGTCCGCCTTCCGCGGACCCAAACAAGTCTTGCCTTAGTACTCTCATCGAGACAGTGGTTGTGTACTCCATCTTTATTCTACTGTGCCTGTAGGAATAGTAGTAAAACATTGCCGAGCAAGTAGCGTGAAGTAGATGAAAACATGATGCTCCCCCTGGGTGGGACGCTGGCACACCTGAGGCGTACTCCCAGTAATTTGCTGGTACCATTTGATACAGCTGGATAGACTGATGCAATAGAAAAGTGCCTTGCTAAATTTTTGGTGGTACTGTACTCTCCAATCCATAATGCCTCTCCATACTAAGTTCAGTAGCTATCTACCTAACACTGCTGTTTGTATGCCCATGGCCTTAATTTCTGTATCAATCTTGCGTAGCCCTGCTAAGGGTGTGCAGTATGCTTAACACCGCTAACTATGCAAACCTCCATCATAGCCTTAGATTATAATTCTTTGAACCGAGTGTGCTGTACTGTGTGTAAAGTTTACTAGACTTTAGAGCAGTGATTAAAAAAATCTCATCTTTCTGTCTCTACTGTAAATGTAATTAAGTTTTTTGTCATGGAGGTCTTCTACCGTTCTTCGTTTCTTTCATGGCTTCCTTCCCAGTAAATTATTTACCAGGACATTTTTTATCGCTATTGTTATTGTCATGCCAATGTAGTGACCTTAGTCTCTTAATTTGGAAACTACTTAAGTGATAAAAGCTTAACTGTATCCTATCTGTTAGGTAGCACTTTTCTGTTAATATTGTGGGAGGTACAGTTAGTCCTGTATTCCTTTTAAACTGTTAATGATACAGCTGAGTGATAACATGTATTGCATTTTAAAGTGTTAGAAACTGATAAATTATATTGACCAGTTATTATGCTTATGATATTGATAAACAAAGTTCAAATTACCTAACCTATCTTCAGCAACTTTCTAATATTTAATTAGTATTTAGCAGATAAACTTGCCAAAATGCTAATTGAGAATTTACAGTAATTCATGTTACTGTGTATTGACAATTTATAAATTGGGAGCGGTAGGTTATAAAGTCTAAAGGTCATATATTGACAAATGTAAAGTCCTGTGTGGGTAGTGTTTAGTTTAAGCTTTGTATAGAACAGAAACGCCCATGTTAACACGCAAAACCCATCTTTGCTCTGTAAACAATTATTCAAGTTGAATCATTGTTGAATGTTTTGAGTAATATATAATTGAACCCTTGGCTAAATTACTGGACAATGGCTATCAATTGACCCTGTTCACTGCTACTGCTAGGCCTGATTGAAGATCATTTTAGGTGTAGGGTCAAGGAAGGAGTTGCGAGCGACCCTTGTGGGCTACTGTACAAATAGTTCCTGCTGTTTTAGGCCAAATAAAAAAAATTATTGGTTTCTCTTCCCCTCGCACATCTATTTTCTCTGCCTCACCAACTTTTTTTTTAAAATTCTACAATAGTATGCGTTGGATTAGATGCTACTTTAACAGTGCTGTGCTTAGGCACAACTGGGATCATTCCATAGGCTACAAACTCACATTCCCACTGAGCATGATCCTATAATTTTACTTTTCAGCACCATGAACAAAGTAAACCAAACCAAAGAAATTATTTCAAAAATTAAATATTTTTATTTTCATTCAGAAAACTATCAGTTAAAGATTTCCATTTTCATTATGCCTGCAATTAAAATATTACTCCTGGTTGGTGAAATCGTCATTGTAATTCACTTAAAATACTGTACTGATTTTGATTAGCATTTCCTAGACAATATTCATTTTTTTTTAATTAAAAAAAATTCCTCTAAATGTTATATTTAATTATCCAAAATTCAGGTTGGATGGTGATGCTAAACAGGTAATTTTTTTTTTTATTGGCCTTTATGGAATTTTTTTTCCCCGAAATGTCTTATCTTATAAATTTGTTTATTCTTGATGTTTGTAAATTATTGATTATTAATTAGAAATGAATATTTAAAACATTTAAAACACACATGCGGTATGATGAGGATACTGTTGAACAGGTAGAATAATGTATCCACTTTGGCTCATTGCCAAACAAAATCTAGCTCTTTTTTTTTTCTCTACCTTTTATCATTGCACAAATTTATTTTTATCACTTTGAATATTACCCTGAGCTTGGTCTTGAATGTCTTCTGAATACAAATTTATAGTATAATGAATAAGAATTTATACACAGCTTTTTTAATGATTTCCTATTAAAACCTTGAAAATGAAATATATTGTGGTATTCCCATTTGCAACGCCAGTAGAAGCAGGGAAACTGTAGGGACCCATTGGACAGGCCAATACTTCCAGTTGGCCATGTCTTAGGCAAAAGTAGAAACAAAAAATGCTTTCTCATGGAATTTGAATTTGTTTTGTATTTCTCCAGGATTTTAAAAGATTTTCACAATTAAGGCTTATGCTAAGCTAAATTTTCCCATTTTTGTGCATGCGTTTTAGCAAATACGCACATCACAAACCTCTACCTGTCCGGCACGGAAAAATCTCCAGGAATTTAACTTTCACAACTTTGGACAGTACTTTCCTGTCTTTTTGAGTGATGATCTATTCAAAGTTTATTACAAATTGTCTTCTTTATTTTTTGGGTGGCATCTAATATTCAGCTCATTTTTGATGATATTAGAACATGATGCTCAGATCTACAGTGATAAATTATACTGTAGCCTATTCTAGGATGGTCATATCATAAGCGGGATGGTGGTGGTAAGATCCAGTTAGCATTGATTCAGATCATGTTCAGATCTTTTGGTTAAACATGATGATGCCTAGATATGATGTACTGACAGCGAATTTGTAATCACTCACGAGAAGACTTTGTATTAAACCGCATCTACCACGCTTCAGCGATCAATGCAGACTTCTTATCAATATGGAAATACAGTTACATAGCCTGTTTATTGACAACTGACAGGGATCAGGGATCGTCTTAGAAATTTCAAAATATAGTTATATAAATGCAAGCCGTTTCAATTGCTCGGGATCTAGGATATTGCCTGATACATTTATGAGAAATGATGAGAAAAAATTCTGTAGAAAAAGCAATCATTGATAAAACGCAGGTTCAGGGAACAACAAAATGTAAATTTAGCAAATAATACACTGTCAGTGTCAGGAAAGCGGAATTAATTTATAATTCATTCCTTTATTGGTTCTCTTTGTCCATTTTATTTATGAAGCTACTGTAGAGTCCTCAATAACAATTGAATCCCAAGGGCTTTTCATCTTAATAGTTTTGACTTTCTTTGTTCTCTGGCCGCTTGAGTGGTTGGCGCAGCGGTTAGGTTTCGATATCTAAACCTTGAGGCCGGAGGTTCGAATCTTCGCTGTGAATTTCGCTTGTGTCCGTGGGCAATCGTCACAGTCCATTTTTTTTAAGCTCTATTAGATTTGGTTTAAATGGCTCAGTTTGATGTTTTTTTAAATCGTATCAAAATGCGATACAGTATTATAATAATGTGTTAATTGTTGCTATACATATTGTTATAGACGTCAGTGAGTAGTAAATTGTTGATGATGTTTACATTACAACTTCCTGATTATTCAAACACAGCTATCCTGACCACTATGGTCGTGGCGTCACATCTGAAATGGAGTGTGCTGTTTGCCTTCTGACCTATTTCTTGGAGTGAATAATAATAATTATGGTAGAACTTTTATATCCAGAATTTTTAAATTTTATGTTCAATCTACAATTTCTTATGCCACTGATGCAATGATTCATGGTTTTATACATCACAAATATATACGCTGTATTTTTATTTTTAAAGTTTGTAGTTTCTGTGGAGGTTTTGGGTTTAGCAATAACCCTATTAATTTTCTTTTTTTTATCATACTTAAATATTTTTTTTCTATCTAAAATACATTTTTTTTGCTTAGTTATTATTGTATTATTGTATTTATTGTATAAAAATTGTCAGTTCTTAAATTTATTATTAAACATTAATTTGCCTTTGGGAACTACCAAATGAAAGGTTTTCTCTACCCGTACCTAGTTCTAACTTCACTCTATAAGAATAATATTAAAAACAATTAATTACCGTAATACCATTAAAAAAATATCTCCTAATAAAACATCCTATATTTAACCATTCTCTAAGGAGAATATTTGGCATTTATTGAAATGCCGTTGATTTACATCCTTTAGATGGCTAGGTCTAGCCAAAACTAAAGAAGGCCACAAAGAGACCAGAAACAAATAAATCAAGATCACTTACTATTCTCAAAAACAATTGCAAAAATAATTAATTTAGCTACTTCTATCTGTTTTTTTGTATTCATTGTTATTTTCTGGAAATCATGCTTATCATTTTATTGTTAATGTAATGAGTCAGTGTATTATAGTATTTCAGTGTCTGCCACTATTTTTCTCATGTTTAATTCAATTTACTAAATGCAAACATTTATTGCTTATTTCAATAATTCATTTTCAGTTCTTTGTCGGCTTTTAACAAATCTAATATAAAATTCCATAATGATGTGACATTCAGTAGTACACTAGGGGATTGGGCTCAACTTAATAAAAATTCTTTCTAAGGAAATAAACCCCCTACTTATATAGTGGAACAGCCTGGTTACGTGTGTCAGATGACTTGAGTACTTATAGAATTACCATTTACAATACCAATAGTTAATGAAATATGAAATATTCCCAATGCGATCGGGTATTATTAAGTGGATTGAGATAGAAAAAAAATATGTATTTTAAATATGAATTTTATTCAAACACAATCAATGAAACTTTTCCTAATTTTTATGATTAATTTATTAATTAACTACTGGCCAAGTTGGGCTTAAATTTTTTACTTTATTATATTTTGGTTTTCTTATTTCAGTTAACATTATTTAAATATTTTTATATAAATCTGTAAAATTTCAAAATGTGTCATTAAAGCGATTAAATTATGTTGCTATTTTGCATGTCAAATGACATTTCTTTTTTTCCGTATGTAGACATAAGGGTGGATCCAGAAAACAATCTTGGTAGGGTTCATGTTATTTTCGAAGCACCGAGCCAGGGGGAAGGGAGATGGATGGGGGTGGTGTGTGAAACTTTTGTTTTTTATTTTAAGCATAGACAGCTTGTTTTGGAGTACTGTGCTCCTCTTTTTTTCTCTCTTTTGTGGCTACCGTAGCCACTGTTACCCCCTGGATCCGCCCCAGCATAAGTAAATTTGATAAAAATATGGAATGTAGCTAAAGCATCCCTCAATGTTGAATTGAATTCACTTGAGCGGTACAACTGTAGTACTAACAACAACCTCAATGTAATGAAATTAATTAACATATTAAATAATTGATTATTTTTTGTAGTGGTCAAGGAAGAAATGGAAGATTTGATGGCAGACATTAAAACTAGTGCCAATAAAGTGAGACATGAACTCAAAAGTAAGTATGCCCAAAAATTTCATTTTGTAGATACTTTCATATCCCCTCTATTTCTTTTCCTTGATAGGAATGTGTCAATTCAATCCAATTGTAGTGTAAGTATCATGAATCCCCTATGTATGAGGGGACCAAACATCTTTAAAAAGAAAGTTAATTAAATTTTTTTTAAATGAAAAGGGTAAAGGGAAAAAGAAGGGAAAAAATGTAAAAAGAATTCTCTAACAATAAGAATTCTCTAACAATTACTCTAACAATAAGAATTTTATTAGTGGAGACTGAGAAATTTGCTTTTTTTTTGCATTTTCTGTCTTTGTATGTTTTGATTATTGTTATCTCTTTGATTGTCTTGTAAGTAAATGTATTCTTTGGAAATTATGAAGTAAAAAAAATTAATAAAGTGAGACATGGTTGTCTATACTGAAATTAATATTTAAGCTTACCCTCCTGTCAGGTACAGGTATACCATTAATTTTAGATCAATTACAGTTATGCACAGACATAAATACTGTACTTAAATTTTACTACACTATCATACAATATTTTGTGAAACATAAAATAACATGACTCAATCATAATTCAAACCAAAGACCTGAATGCTATTCAGGTGATCAACTGCTACCTTAAATTGATAAATTTATTATTAATCAATTGTCGTGTACTTTTTCTAATATTATATTTAATTGTTGAATTTATTTAAATAAAAATAAAATTGGAAAATAAATTATATTTATTCTCATCATATTAATACTGTATCATTTCTTTTCTTGTTTTATTTATTTTTTCTGTTAAAATTTTTAGTTATGGAGCAAAGTATAGAAAAGGAGGACAAAAAGACTTCAGCAGATTTCAGAATTCAAAAAACACAGGTGAGTTTATGTCCACACTGTTAGTGTCAGTCCATCATTCAGGGTAGGTACACACTAGAGCCTTAATATCCGGATCGGGAGCTAACTGCGAGAACGCCCAATTACAGTAGTTAGCGCTTAACATTACCGGGAAGTGGATATGGTAACGGTTAGCAAGCGCTATCCATTCTCAAGTTGACCTCATTTAAATCGTTAACCAATCAGACATACGCATTTCCAATTTTTTATTTTCCTATTGGCCACTGATGCCACCGTCATCTTAATATCTGGATCAGGGATTTTTCTGGTATGAACGCAACAGTACTTAGCGCGTATGTTAATAATCTGGATCCTGCTAACCATTAGATGGTGTGTGTGAACATACCCTAAATCAACTATCCATCTAGGAAATACATGTTATAAGGGAAGCAACTGTGAATGAAAGAACTACTGTAGTTTTGCGCTGGTAAACTTTACAGTTTGCTGCCATGATCACTGTAAACAGAACTTGGGAATGACAGTAATCGTAACATGAAATGCGTTTCAATTCAAATTTCAATACAAGAATTGTTTACATACGTATAACTGTAAGCATCTTCAAATTCTTACTTCATAATTCACACCCTAAAATACTCCTACATGTAGATAGCAAACATGTTTGTGGAGTTATGTACATAATTAAACTGTTGCAAAAGTGTATAATTTATTCCAACAATTTTGTATCCATAAGTTTAAATTATCTGCATCCCAATAAAACTATGAAGTAGACATTCATTACTTCTACCGGAGATATGTACCTTTTTACATTCACAACATGGGAAATGTGTGGCGCTTTCCACGTCTACGTCACCTCACAAGCATCAGAGGTGCATTGAAGTATTCATGGCTTGTGAATTTGTGATCCCGGATTCATTTGATCACATTGTAAAGCTTTGTCTGCACTAGTATTAGTATTAAATTTTATGTGACAAAAAAAATTGATATGCCCACATGTGGGTACGATTACTTCATATCATATACTATCAAATTGTATAAAAAAAAAAGTTGAACATGTTCAACTCTTATTTTCCATCACATTTTATGCAACGCTTTTTTGATGAAATTTGTTAGTGTAGACAAATCTTTAGTGATAATACAAAGTGATTCTATGACATTGTAGTTACACATTCAGTAAAATTCTTAATGATCAGTTAATTCATTTACAGGTATGTAGGCTACGCTATTATACCGATCTGCAGCCAATCAAAGAATGGAATACATTGGATGTTTCATTTTCAAAAGACAGTGTTGAATGCAGCACCAAAATAAATTATGATATTTTAATAATTTTATAATTTTAATATAACTAGCCTTTATAATTTTTCTATATATTCAGCACACAACCTTGTCGAGGAAGTTTGTCGAAGTGATGACTGATTACAATAGTACACAGACGGACTACAGGGAAAGGTGTAAAGGAAGAATCCAGAGACAGTTAGAAATAAGTAGGCCAACAATCATCATATTTTTTAAAGTATTAATTCCTTAAAATTTTATTCATCTTCATTGGTTTAGTGTAGTATATTATTATTATTCATATACCCTTTGAACTCATGACCTAATGATGTTCATGCTCTTCAATTGTTGACATTTTTTATGATGCATCTCTTTGTATCTTTGACCTGTCCAGTATCATATTGATGGATGGTTAAACTATTGATATTTAATGGTTTATGTGTTAATTAACTCTTTGTATCTTTGACCTGTCAAGTGTCATGTTCCACAGTAGTGTAGTTGCTGGTGACCCTACTTGCTATATAATTCTTACAAATATTATGAACTATTTATAACTATTTATTTATTTATATTTAATGATTCACGTGCCCTTTGAACTCTAATTGTATGTTTACTATTGATATGTTAATGATATGCATAGTTTTTGAACTGTTGACTAATGGTATTAATATATAGTACTCATTTTGAACCTCTGATATTTCTCTAGTATGATATACAGTGAACTGGACCTTTCTATCTTGTAATAGTATATTCATATCATATTCTTTTTAACTTACTGATAGTGATAAAGTTGGTTTTTTTTAAATATCTTTCTTCTCTTACAATTTCCAATATTCAAAAGTGGTCTTACAATTATTGTCATATTATATTCAGATTTTTTACTTTCCTTTACTAGGTCTGCTTTTAAAAACACAGGATTTATTTAGATAGTAACCCTATAGGTTTAAAAATGAAAATACAGATCAATGCTAATCCATATAACTGTACTTTGTTTAATTGAAATTAAAAATTTCTCCTTTAAATACAATGTGTGTTAATTAATACAGCTGATATCAAATTTCTTTTGTGTCCTTGTAGTTCCTTTAAATGTCAAATAATACATATTGGTATACAATTCCACTATGCCATTTAGACTTTCCCTTTAATTTATAATACAAAAATATCAAATTGCTTTTTTCATCATTATGACTGTCCCTTTAATTATTGGCTTGCGTGTACGTTTCCTTTTGCTAATCGATATCATGTTGTACTTGCTTCTATTTACATCACCTGGCCGTCATCTGAAGGCTTTTTGATACGGAGCGTTAGAAATAAATTGCAACGGAGACAATACCATGTAGGTCATTTACTTCTCGGCAACAGCAAGTGTTAATTGCAAAGTTTAGTATCAGATCAATACGAGAAAACCTGGATATATACATATCATTCTTGTCTAGTATCCGCTGATAATAACAAAATAATTTGCTTGAAAAACGGAAAGGATGTTTATAATAATTTTTAAAGGAATTCGAAAAAACATTAAAAAATATATTTTATTCGAATATTGATGACGATAATAAAATTATTTGCTACTTATTATTAATACTAATAGTCTAATAATAATTGTTTGTTCGTATGATTTCTTATAATTATATTTGATATTGATATTTAAATTATTTATTATTTTAATGTCCTAAAGTATACTAAGCAATGTTTTTGACTTAATAATTCTGTAATTATAAACTGAATTTATTAATGAGGCTAAGGAATGGCGATTTTCTAGGTCATGAGTGAAAAATCTTGCTTTTTCGGCAAGCTATAAAAACTATAAAGAATCTGGCATTGAACGATAAAACATTTAGCTATAAATGTGTATGTGTGAATAAATATTACAATGCAGGGATAACTGCCAAGCCTTTGAGAAGCAATATCTGGCATTCTATTCTGGTTCTAAATGAGATTATGATGAAAATTCATATGATTTCTCTCCGCATGATCAAACTCATAAATATTGATGTTGGGCAAATTGCGGTTTGTGGCTCGTCTATGGTGTGCACTGTCTTTAGCCAATGAAACAACCATGTATAATTGAAAACAGCTCCTGATCCGAGTATCTATCGTAGCAGTCAATACGTATGCTATTAATTGTATCTATGCAGTGTGTTTGCATAGTATTACTTGTATATTATAACTTGAGCATATCATATTTGATTAAATGCACTTAAAAATAATGACTAATGGGCCTTGGAAGTATTATTTTTTTTTCTACATTTATGTTAGGAGTTTTACCTAAATTTTGCCTCTTCACAAGGCTGTTTTGTTCTATATTTAATCTACTTTCTACTTTTTTTATCTTTATTTTAAAGCTAGTTAAAATTCTAGATTCATGAGTAAAAAATAATTCTAAACTAAAAAGTTATGTAATATATTATAACAATTTAACAACTTACTGTTATTAAATTTATGTACTGTAAATATTTATGGAAGTAAATATTTGTTTTATTTTTTAACATTGTTGATGAGCCTATATTGTTGTGTTGTAATGGTCTAAAGGCAAATTTAAATCAAAAGTGGTAATTTTTAATTATTAAATTGGGAATTATAAATGATAGTTACTCTTCTTTCAAAGATTGTATATTAAAATAAGTAATGGTTATTTATTAAGGTTTGTGACATGTAGATATTGTTGGTGGTAATCATTGATTGATTACAAATAAATAAGTTAATGATAATAGCACACTTAAAGTACACCGGTGTCTGTTCTGAGGGAACACTTCTGGAGTATTGATTCTTAGTAGAGAATTTGTTTTGCTCTCAAACTTGATTGTTTAATATTGTCAATGTCAGGCAACTAATTGCCTTCTGTCCCAATTGTAATCGTCCCTCGAAAATACAATGGAACAGTCAGAGCTTGGCAAAATAAAACATGAATATCCCAGCAACACATGACACATCGTTTTTTTAAAAATAGGTGTGATACGGTAAGACATGTCTGAAACAGAAAAACCCTTAACAAATCTGTGGTACATGCAATTAATTCCACAGATTGGGTGTGGAGTAATTTCTGTAGGATTTGATGCCCTTGGTTACTAACAGAATATGGGTTTTAAAAAAAATCAGATTTTTTGGGGAAAATGATATAGAGAACTAAAGTGTTACATCACAATACCACGTGATACTACTCCGTTGTAAAATGCGCTCAACCGGACGCCATTTTTTCCACTGACAAACCATTGATCCCAATTTCTAATGTAATTATTAAGATGTTGTATTTTAGTTTTTCTTTGTAAATTTTCATTGATGATTCAATGTGTATTCGATAACTAATATAATGCAAGCTTTTGTGTTTTTAGTACATGTTGATGGTAAAATATTAGATTTTAAAATGCCTATTCCAGAAAGCCTATGAAATCATTCAGGCGTAATGAACGGTAACCAACGTCTGGTAGGCGACAGAGGGCGCCACCTGGCGTTGTGACGACACGACAGTGGTACTCTATAGACAAATATAAAAATTGCGCATTGATTCTTACTGCAGTGTGATGAAATGATGGGTGGACCATAATATGAATTGATAATGTATTCTGTATATCTGAATGTTGCATGGTGTACGGTACCGATCAGTCATCTATGTTTCTATTTCAAAATTGGTAGACATTAAAAAAAATAATGATCATACATGCCTTTGGTTTATTTAAACAATCTATTGAATAATAAATTATTTAATCAATATACAATATAAATTGATTATGTTATATATTGCTGAATATTCTATTCTACTCATAATCATTATTATTTTTCCCCTTCCAGCTGGAAAGCAGACCACAGATGATGAGTTGGAGGACATGTTGGAAACTGGCAACCCAGCAATATTCACATCAGGAGTATGTACTATAAACACATTCAACAAATACAGGGGTCCCAAGTCTTCCGGAGGTCGTGGGAGTTTCCCCCGGGAAATCAGGACAGCCTCCCTCATTCCCACAAGCAAGCAAGAATCTCCACACAAATTCATAATGTTTGCTTGACTTTTTACTACTTTATTATCAATTGTATCAAAATAAATAGATGTGTTAAGGAAACTCTTTTAAGCAATCTCTCTGGAAGTGATATATTCCAACTTGGGGACCTTGCAAATAGAATAAAAGTAGTAAACTGAGAAAATAAGATGAAGTCGTGGCAAAGGAAATGAAAATTTGTTTTAATTATTCTTTAGACCAACAATACTGTTTAATAAAGGCCATGAAGTAAAAAACCATTGATATTTAGCAGCTTTTGTTATTAATTTAGGTTAATTATTTCATTCTAAATCATATTTTTATCTGTAGTCATTGTCAATCATAAACATATGAAACGTGAAGTAAAAATAAGTAGAAATTAAATTAAGGTTCCTGTGTGATGAGTAAACTATCTTAAGCCCTATAGAGACTATCAAATTTGATTTGACAAAAACATGTGACATGCCTAAATATGGTCATGATGACATCACATCATTACCATATATGGGCACATCATGAGTATATATGGCCACAGTTTTTTTTGTCAAAGAAAATTTGATAATCTGGACAGAGCCTTACGCTTGATTCACATGAGACAAAATGATACACAGATTTCCAAGATTTTCCAAAATCACCATTGTCTTCCTTCGAGTGAATTTAAGCCTTGCTTAAAGTCGATACATTAAAGATACGTGCAACTACACAATAATAAGCATGTGCGCAGATTCAGGCTAAATATCTTGGGGAATGTTAAGGCCAACTCAGACAGAGTCGTACAATGCAATCCAATACTAGTTGTTCTTGCCTTATAGAGTTTGTTGGCGGGATGTTATTCTTGTGAATATTATGTCTCTTTGTAGATCATCATGGACACTCAGCAGGCGAAGCAGACATTACAAGACATCGAGGCGAGGCACAATGACATCATCAAGCTGGAGAAGAGTATAACTGAACTGCACGATATGTTTATGGACATGGCAACACTCCTGGAAACTCAGGTGAGGTCAAAAATATGAATAAATTATAAATAAGCAACATAAGGACTAAAATAGTGAAATTAAAAACTAAATTGCAGAATAGTGTAAAAGCTAATTTTTAAAGATTTCTGAGTACATTGTGCACAATAATGAAGTACACACCCGTAACATAATAAAACATATTATTATTTTTAAGAATATTAATGAAGTATAGTTTTAAAAATACCCCATGAGTATTTGATATGTAGTCGATTACTGATAACTTTTTGACAGTTTATAAACAAATGTGATATTTAATAATTTTCATTCTTCACCAGCATTCTTTGACATCCTCCATATTAGAGATCTTTTGTTGCAGATGTTTCAAACAAATATTCTTCCAATTGCTATGAAGTTGTTTTACAGTGGTGTCAATATTACTTCCCTATGTGTTGTTTTACAGGTGTCAGATTACTAGCAAGATGTTGTTTTACAGGTGTCAAATTACTATCAAGGTTTTGTTTTACAGGTGTCAATTTTACTATCACAGTTTTGTTTATATCGATGTGTGTTTATTCGTTCCCAAAGGATATAATTTAATAAGTTATTTTTCAAGAAAGTGTCTGATCTGTATCTTCCTCATTATCTCTGTCATTTGATCAGTACCTTTCATGTTTTCATCTTCTAAGTCATTAATGTTACCGAGGATTTAACCATGGCTGATTTACATCATCTGCAAACCAGTTGAATGATAGTACTTCCTACATTTTCTGATGTAGGTGTCTGAACTTGTCTGCATCTGAAGAACAGGCATTTAGGCATACCTGTATCTATAGATAAAGAAACTTGTCTGTATCTGGAGACCAGGCTTAACAATGGGGCTTGCCATGCCAAAGCCAACATAAGTGAACAAAACAAGAAAATTTACTTTTTAGTATATTTATTTAAGTTTTAAAATGATAGGAGGCCAACTTATTGCCAAAGCTATGAGTAAATGTCTTACGGCATTTTTCCTGTACTGAAGTATACAATACTGCCACCTTCTTATGCTAATACAATTTGGTGACAGAATTCTGGTTTTGGGATATCAAGCCTCATTTACAACATTTACAGGTTTCAGATAATCAAACAGTACATGACTGTCCTCTGCTCTGTATTGCTGAAGTTTCTATTACATCTTCTCCAGTGGCTGGCATTCATCATCTAGTACACCACTTCCAGATAATCAACAGTACATGACTATCCACTGCTCTGTATTGTTGAAGTTTCTATTGCATCTTCTCCAGTGGCTGGCATTCATCATCTAGTACACCACTTTCAGATAATCAAACAGTACATGACTGTCCTCTGCTATGTATTGCTTAAGTTTCTATTGAAACTTCTCCAGTGGCTGGCATTCATCATCTAGTACACCACTTCCAGATAATCAACAGTACATGACTATCCACTGCTCTGTATTGTTGAAGTATCTATTGCATCTTCTCCAGTGGCTGGCATTCATCATCTAGTACACCACTTTCAGATAATCAAACAGTACATGACTGTCCTCTGCTCTGTATTGCTGAAGTTTCTATTGAAACTTCTCCAGTGGCTGGCATTCATCTAGTACACAACTTTCAGATAATCAAACAGTACATGACTGCCCTCTGCTCTGTATTGTTGAAGTTTCTATTGAATCTTCTCCAGTGGCACTGATATTCATTCATCATCTAGTACACAACTTTCAGATAATCAAACCAAACAGTACATGACTATCCTCTGCTCTGTATTGCTGAAGTTTCTATTGAATCCTCTCCAGTGGCACTAGTCATCATTATCCAGTACACCACTTCCAGATAATCAATAGTACATGACTTTCTTCTGCTCTGTATTGCTGAATTTTCCATTGCATCTTCTCCATTGGTACTGGTCCTCATCCACTACGCTACAGTACTTCAGATCATCAGCTGATGAGTGTCCTGTGCTCTGTTCTGCTGAATTTTTATTGCATCTTCTTCAGTAGCACTAGCTAAGTTATCATCATCATTGACATCATATCACCAGTAAGAACTGATTGTCACTCAGTACTACCAGAAGATTATCTATTTACATTTTTTTAAGATTTGTATTTTTGTTATCATATGGTTTGATTTTTTTGGCTTGTGTGTATGTTAGGGTGAAATGATTGATAACATTGAAGCGAATGTTATGGCATCAGTGGACTATGTCCATGAAGGCACAGAGAATATAAGTGCGGCATTGACCTATCAAAAAAGTGCCCGTAAGGTAAGGTGATGGAGGTCACTCAGGTCAGAAGTCACAACTGATGTTCCTCATTCTCATTGTCATTGCTCTTCCACTCATAAGCCATCACAATAATATTGCTTCCATAGGGCGAGATGATTGATCAGATTGAGTTTAACGTTGATCAGTCGGTTGATTACGTGGCAGCAGCAAAAGTAGATACAAAAAAGGCGGTCAAGTATCAAAGCAAAGCGCGACGGGTAAGTTATCTTACAACGCAACTAACGGTTTCTATTTTCAATTTTTTTTTCTCTTTTTCTCTAACGCATCACCGATAACATGGGTTTCATAGGGTGAAATGATAGATTTAATTGAATTTAACGTAGAACAATCAGTCAACTATGTAGAAACGGCCGTGGCTGACACTAAGAAAGCGGTCAAGTACCAGAGTAAAGCTCGAAAGGTAAGTTAATTGTAAGAATGTTGGAATGCTACCCACTATCAGCACAAGTCGTTGCACAAATCGAGATCTAATCTCCTGTCTCCATACCTTCTTCCATTGTAAGTACAGTATGCCTTGTTTCTGTTTTTTATTTGCCAGATTAGATGTTGTACCCATGCATGTATTTGTCGTAAGGGCAAGACAATTTTTATACCCTGTTTAGCAAACTTTTTTTTCGAAATATCTTAAGATCTAAGCAGGAGAGTGACAGCTAAAATTATACTTAATTTTCTGTTTTAGCAAAATTATTCTACAAAACATCTTGATTGAGGAGAACATAAAATGGAAATTTTACAAATATAATAAAATTGCAAAAGTAACTGAGGTCACACTTCGATCCTTGTTTGAGATCCCATTGCACCACTTTATAAGGAATGTGATGTTGTCATGTGCACTGATGCTTAATGTTTAATTAAATTTTCAGGAAAAAAAACACATATATTTTAAAATATTATGGTGCCTGCGAGCCGAATAGAAATGGACAATTTTTTTCACTGAAATTTCCAAATTTTTACAGCAGCTCTTAACAGGCAAAAAACTATGATTTTTTTTTGATTTTTTTTTTTATAATAATAATTATTGCTTGGCAGTTGGGTTCATGAAACAAGGTATAAAAAATGTCTTGTCCAAAGTAGTACAGCATCATTAGTATATAGTTTAGTATCTCTTCAAATTTTAAATAGTATTGCAGAAAAATTCTATTATATATTAGGGCCTATAATTATATTAGGTAATATACTTAACTAAAAAAACAGTATCATAGCTGTGGAAGATAGGATTTCTTGAAAGTTTTGCAGAGTATTGCAGAAAAGGCCTAGGCCTGTATTATATTATGTAGTTATTCAGAATTTGTTATCCTAGGTGTGGAATGTAAGCTATAAATAGAATATTGTGTGATAACTATGTTCATTATTGGTAAATATGTTTTAGTGTGTTTGCATAGTACAGTATTTGTTTTTATTGGTAATTAATGTTACATATTTAGTGCGTATATAAGTGCGACATTTAAATTACCCTGTCGTGTTGAACAATTGGTTTGTGAATAGCAAAAATGCTTGGTGTATATTTTATTTGCCGCTTGGTAAACAACGTTTACTACTGTATCAATATATAAGAGTTGCTTGATTTTTTTTTTGCATGGGTCAGAATTAATTGTCAGTGTTTAGGTTTACCTCTCCCTCCACTTAGTTTTATTATAGTAACCATGATGTTATAGATAGAAATAATTAGTTATTATGTTAATAATAATAATGTATAATACAGTAATAAGTATAATTTTGGCATCATGATCATAGTAAAAACCATCTTCAAATGTCAAGATTCATTAAAATGAAATTTCTGGTAGAAACATTTAATTTCTAGTTCTTCAAGCTTATCATCTGAACAGGTTTACTGTGTAAAGCCTGTTTTGCCAAAAGTGTTATAACTAGTCTTTGAAGTGAAGTACTATTCTACATTTTTACTTATACTTATTGACTATTGTAACAGAATGATATAGCTCATCATATAATTGTTATCAATATGGATCAAGTCAACTATAAAGTGTAATGTCAAGTGGTAGTTAAACCATCTGCAAATGTCAAGATTCATTAAAAGGATCAAGTCATAAGTGGAAAGATTTAAAGTAGTAACTTCCAAGCTGACATAACAACTTTTTTTTTTGGTCCTATGTGTTTTTTAAATTTAAGTAGGCTAATTAGTGAGGTATTAACAGTGGGGTCCAAGCCAGTCCATGCCACACTACATTTTTCAAAATTATATATATAAAAAAAAAAAAAAAGGGTTTGGCTTTTTGAAATAGTTCATTACCAAGGTGGAGCCTTGAGCACTTGGTTTTTGAACCTTTTACCTCAATCAGTTTGATATCCTAAGCATGAATTTTAACCCTTTAGTTATCATTTACCAACCAAAAAGCCCATGTATTGTGGTTGGCTATTAAGACCTTCAAATTAGACCTAGTTCACATGTCTGACCCTAATTTCCAATTGTCAACCATGCATGGGCAATTCAACCCATTTTTACTTTTATTTTTATTCAAAGGTCAAGTAAAAAGTCCTTGAATATGAATGATGATGATAGTAGCAACATCATGTTAATAGGAATAGTTATAATAATAATTTTAATACTGTATGTAATTCAAATAATAATTATTTATTTATGTAATTGATGTTGTGATTCGTTGTTGCATGAGTTGTAATGCTGCCTTTGTGACGATATTCTTTCCCGTCAATTATTTCATTAATAATTTATCTTGAGGATCTTTTGATCATATTCACTGTTATCATGGTCATTGTAAAATATGAATTTTAAAAAAGATTTTGATGTATCACTTGATGTTTTGATCACTGAATGAAGATATTGTTTTTCTGCAATTGACTGATTGGTTGATTGATTGATTTCTCAGCAATCATGTTCATATTTTTGTTATATTATCAGTGCTTATGCTGATTTGATATCTGTTGCTTTGTAAAAAAAAGTCAAATTTTTTCAGTGGTAGGTGTGTTTGTAGTATGATTTTTTTTTTCCATCGCAACTTCTATACATTATTAGTTGTATGATTTGTAAGTAGATCAGTTACACACATATTTATGTAGGTTTCTGCAGTTCATAGTAATCTGTATTGCATGCTGGCATGAATTGTATTCATCAGTTGTCATTGACTTATAGAAACCTATCTTGATATGCGAATAATATATAGACTTGAACTAATAGATTGACATTGTCAGACATTTAAATTTCACAATTGAAGCGGTCAAAGAGTATAATTTCTTGCATATTTATTGAGAATTTAAATGATGATACTGTAATTATGTGAATTGCTTCTTAAAAATGGAATCACACACATTGTGAATGCCAACTTCAAATTTACCACGAAATTCATACACAGTTCCAGGATAATTTATTTATTAGTTACTTACTATTAACATCTCCCTCTCCCATAGTTGTGACAATTTTTAATTATTTCAATAATGTTGATTACAGTGTATCCCCTTTCCAAAATTAGCAGCAGCAAAAAAATAAATGAGTAAAACATCAGAGCTTTTTAGTGATGTAGCGCTGGAATATGGAATGGAACTTTCTCTGGTAGGCATCTTGTACAGGGACCAGTGGCGGCGCTACTGGAGGTGGGGGGCAACAGGGCCATTTTTGCCTACCAGTCTCTTTTTTGAGAGAAATAAAGATTATGAAATTATGAAACATACTTTCACCCTCCCCATCCTGGAACCATAGGTTTTAACTTGAGAATTATACACTCAAATATGAGAATTGATTAAAGTACTTGTGCTTATTGTTTTTAATTGTCTGTAAATGCTAATGTTTAGTTCAAATATTATGATTACTGTAGATTACAGTAGATTAGACATTATATATACATGGATTATATATAGACACATTGTGTGTATGATACACATATATAATATTATATAATTATTATATAATAAAACTAAATTAATATATGGTACTGCTCACCAATAGTTTCCCTTGTTTATCAATGGAAATGTGTTGTTGCATAAAAACTAGTTTTTAAACCTTTTTTGAATATTACTAACACTTGAACAAACATTGATATTGTCTCCTTCTATGCATTCCAAATTTATGTGCATTTAGTTCTATGAAAAAAACATGGAACTTAAGCCAATCAGTGACTTGAGTCATTTTAAATTTACTAGGTGCTTGTTTATAAACAAATAGATGTTATGTAATTCCAGTTAAGTATAACTTGCTTGGAAAAATCCAATTTTCAAACATCATTATGGATTGCTAATGCGGAGCTCAAAGAAATAATAGCCCTCAAATACAGTGGCGGTGCCAAAACTCCCTGTTCTGACAGATTCGAATTCAACGCAGTCACATTGTGTTTGAACAAATTTTAAGAATAGTAATCTCTAAATGCCCGGAAATGTCACTATAAAACTATAAAAATGCTTTTTTAAAGAAGTTTTCCATGTTAAAGTGTGTACCTTCTTTCCCGATGAGAGTCCATCGTTTCCTGACAGGGATTCTGCGTCTCCCTATGTATCGCTTGTTGGCACTGCCGAAATCTAAATCTGCAGCCAGATAATAATAATAGTAATAATAATAATAATAATAGTAATCTTTATTCACAACACCTGTTGTGTTCTTACAAAAGGCAGTGAGGAACATTAATATAATTGTATAAAACTTATTAAACTAACTAAAAAACAAAAATATGCACATTGACAAAGCCTAATTGTATAATAACAATGCCATAAACCATTAAGTACAAAAAAAAAACGTTTAACAAACTTAAAACTTGATCTAAATAAAAAATTATGAAGTAAGGTTGCATTTGTCCTTTCTAACTAATATAGATTCGAACCCATTGCCAGTGCAATCTGCTGTAATCATAGGCTACCTGTAGGAATATGTGGCATTACGTAAATTCCATAATATAACACACTACTATTGGGTCATTGTTTTAAAACCATAGAAATGTCTTTTTCCCATACTTCTAGTGAGCACGCTGTGTTCCATGAGATACCAGTGACGCTGTAACTCCATACCAAAGTTACTATCATGTGCTTTTATAATAATTATTGCATATTCCGCAATACCCTGTTTGGGGAATCAAATTGTGTGTATTACTTGATCTTTATAGTGGAGCACCCAAACAGTAATCAGAAGGTCCTTGGTTCAAATCTCGATGGGGACAATATGTTTTTCTCAAAAAATGTATTATTAATTTTCACCAGTAAAGGTGCAACTCACTATCAAAATTACTATCACGTAATAGTGGGGTTACTTCTACTTTTGGGGTTGCTGATTTTGTCTGTGGGCAACTTGTTATTGTTGGAACATTTAAATAAAAAATAATGGCATAAAGGAAGCATATCAAGTGTTCATGTAATTTGTCTTTTATCAAAATATTTTATTATAACTATTGTCTTAAAATGTGATTTTGATGGGCGCTTTGTTCTTAACATAATCCCGTATTAACTTGTACTGTGCTTAAAACTTGGCATGAGAACCTCTAGCAGCAATATGGAAAGAAAATTTGCTAAAAAATAATTCATAAAAGGAGAGATAAGTAAATATTTTTTTTTTTTTTAATTTTTAAATATGGGAAACTTTTGAGATTAAAAAAAATAAAAATAAAAAAATTGCAAGGAAATGTAAAACTAGATTAACTACTAGATCAATATAATAAGTTTTCAGGCACGAACAACATCAAAATTTCCTGATGCAAACAACTTTGAAATAGATTGATTATTGTTTGGATTCAACTTTTGTTATAAATATTTAGCTCTGGGTTATTCAACTAAAATTATCTACCCTATCTGGCACAGGGTATTCTCTTAAAAACTAAAACATAAAACTTTCAGATATTAATAAAAAGCTACTTCCATACTTAATACCCAAGAAGAAAAATATTTAAAAAAAAACACATTTCTTTTGATAAATTTGTTGCTTGCAGTTCTCTTTTTTTTTTCTTCTCTTGCAGAAAAAAATTATGATAATTATGTGCTGTGCTGTCTTGTTCGTTGTCATAGCGGTACTTGTAATAACTTTAGTTTAATATATATATATATGTATATATATATATACACATATTTATATATATATATATTTATATATATGTATACATATATATTATGTATATTATATATATGTATATCATAGATATTATTCCCAGCTTGCTTGTATTCCTGTATGAGAAGTTCTTGAAAAACATTTGAATGTTCATTGAAGAGTATAATATTTCTGTGATTTTGAGTATTTTGTTCTTTGAAAGTAAAGACGTCGGAAGAACCTTCTCTGTTACGTTTTTATATCTTTACAGAAAAAAATTATGATGATTCTGGCTTGTGTGGCATTGATTGGTATCGTTGGAGTTATCATTATGTCAAAGGTCACATAAGGATATCAGATTTTAATAGAAGGTTGTGAGTAGAAAGATGATACAAATTTATAGTAAGATGGCTTGAAGGATGAGAATAGTACAGATTAAAGAATCAGTCAGTAATAACGATTCTGTGACATGTAACTTGAGCTAAAATTATTATTTTTTTTTTTTATTTAGTACCGTTTGTTTTTTTAAATAAGTTTTGATTCTGTAATGTTTTGAAAGGGTTTTTTCACATTTTAAAAAAGAAATCTTTAATTTTATTTGTTGATTATACATTTTTGTTTCCTTTGAATATTTTTGAACAGAAAAGAACTATCTCGGTAAGGTTGTTGGAGTATTTGTTGAATTAGTTCTTATGATGCTATTAAGTGAAAAAAAAAATATTTTTAAAAAGATAATGTTCAATTGATTCAGTCTCGAATTGCACATGTAAAGGAAGATTTAAACTTTGACCATCAACTTTCTTAAAAGTTTTGATTATTGCCAATTTGGCTGTCCATAGCTAGCTTAATGGATTAACAACTTTTGTCAGTGGTGAATGTTGGCTGCTCATACATGGCTGTTATTTCATAGTCCAGTGAGAAAGCTGTATATATAAAATGCAATGCTGAAAAGAAATGAAAAAAGATACAGTGGTAAAATGTTGAACAAAGTATTGTTAATTTGTATTTATATTATGTCTATAGATTTAAACTCTGCTACTGTCATTCTCTGATTTAATTTTTAGCACAAACTATGCAGTACTGTAAAATGTTTAGTAGTAGTAGATGTTTTTCAGCCTTGGTCTAGTCTTATAAGTATTTACCATATTTCTAAGGTTGCTATTAAAAAACTGTTGAACGATAGAAAATCCAAATTTAAGATCCCTTCCAAAAACACATTAATATCGGTATTTTTGAATATTAAGCTATCGTATTATTATTAATCTGTATACTGGTTTACATGCCTCAATGGTTTGAGAATTTGACATTTCCAGTAGTGTTGTAAGATTTGTTATATTTGTTTGAAAGAGTACTTAACATGTTCTGCCATTTTCAAGACAGTGCTTACAGCAGTTTTAATATTTGAGTGCTTGTCTTTAGATTTACAACTAATTCAATTTTAACTTTTATGATACGTAACTTGCTTAAATTCCTAAAAAGTTGTCTTTCGAGATACAGCTTTTCCAGTGACACATGTACTACCCTTTTAAAATTTATCGTTTTTGGTTTAAAATGGAAAGTAAGTAAACAAGAAGTATGTATATTGATTGAAGGTCATATCATTTCTTCATTTGGTAGTTCTAGCATTAATAATAGTGAATCTAGAAAAGCTTATAAATAAAGAAAAATAATTGATAGTGAAACATTTATGTACATTTAATCTAATATAAGTAACCTTCAAAAGTTCCCTTAAAGTATAGAAAAGAAACAATAACATGGTTGAACATATCAAATTGTATTTATATTGTAGTTAAGATTAAATAGTAACCTGTTCATTGTATATACTCATTCATTATTTGTGACATTTGTGTCAAATGATGTTACAGCGTTGTTACTACATCAATAGCTTGAAATGTAGGTTATTATTAAGAGAAGAAATGTTGTTTCCCTCAATATAACTAGATGTTTTCTGTAAACAGAGAGGAAAAATATGCGGTCTATAAGGCATTATGGATATATTATTCAGCATGCCTTTATTATGAATATTCATTAAAAGGTCATGTTATAGTTAAGGCTAGGTCGTCTGCATTTACTTTTAGGATGAATTTACTTATAGCAAACAGTTGTACAAATTTTATTATTATATAGTTGTTTGTTTAAGCTTGTTGAGTAGCATTAAAATATTCCTTGGACCAAATGACAGTCTTGCCACATCCCATGTGGGAACAAATCATAATTTTGTTGTTGAATTAAATCAAACCAGAAGCTCTACCATCATTTAGGAACAACTTCCTTAAAATAAAATTATAATTAATTAGATAATTATTAATTGAATAATATTAAAAATGATTTATAATGTTTTCCTTTTATGAGAATTTGATAAGTTTGACAAATTTGACAAATGACAACAAATCAAACCAGAAGCTCTACTGTAAGAACAACTTAAATTTCCTTAAAATCTAGTGTACAAATATTTCAAGTTTAATTTAATTAGTTATATTATAATTATTTGAATAATATTAAAATGATGGATAATCACAGTTACATATACAGGTGGATTGATATATTTGCTGACATTACCGGAGGCCTTCTGATGAACTTCATTAGCCTTAAATAGTGTGCACCATTTTTCCCTGGTGGCATCTTCTGTTTCATGAAGCAATATAAAACATTTTAGATGGATTTATCGTATAAAGTACTTTTAAGATTTGAAAGAATCCAAATGATCTATGTCTGGAGATTATTTGGTGAAAAAATCGTAATTCACTATTGTAATTACCAGATACTTTCTTTGTTATTTTGGCAAATAAAATACATACATGTATGAGTCATTGATGCATTACAAATTGCAGAGTAAGGCCACAGATTGTCATCAGATTTTGATGAAAATGTTCATTTTTTGTAACCGATTGTTACAAGCTGATTTTCAGACCATTGTGGATATTTTTGTGCAGAGTGTAGGTATGCAGGTACTCTTTGTGTATATTCTACAAATGATATGATAATGATAAGCTCGGCCCGATAGTTATTGCAAAGTAAATGAAGAACAAATGCGTAACTGATGAAGCCTAAAACACTTGAAAGTTAATAAATGTATGTGTAGGTTATTATTAGTGCTAAGCTAATTGAAGCTGCTCTGTTCCGGTATGAAATAATATATGTTGACATATTTAGTGAAAATGCTTCATTTGTATTAGGTTACCTTATTTACCTTAAATACCTTATTTATCATGTAATTTACATATTTAAACAAGACATGACAATATTCCATCATTTTCACAAATTCTATTTTTTATCTAAACCGATAAAAATCGTTTATTAATCTGGATCATATTTATTTCCAAAATGAACACATTCCTAAACAGTTGTGTGCAATATGTTAATATTTTTAACACACTTAAACATTCTTGACTTTAATATTTGGTATCATATTGTGAGATTAAAGAATCTGTTTTAACAATGAAATATACCCCGAAAGCCAATAGGGTTTCTGTTTTTTTGGTTTTTTTTAACAAATGATGTATACCATATTATCTTTAGTGTACATCAAACATTAATTGATAGATATATTGTACTTAAAATTCAAGCTATTCAAATCATTGATCTAACAGTCTACAGAATACTGTAACATCATTTGTGGCAAAGACAAGCCAAACCAGTCACTGGTCGCAAAAATCAATTTTTAATTATTATACATGGTTAAACAGTAAAGTGAGAGCTATAAAATGGTAAAAGAATCATTTAAATCCGTTAATTCCTTATAAGATTACAAGCATTCAAACATAAAGCTGTTTAAAGAACAATATTTGATAAATCAGCCTTCAAAATTTATAATTTTGGGCATTTCTCAGGCAGAGACCATCACCAAAAATTGTTGTTTTAACATTGAAAATGAGGAAAATAACAGCATGGCAAGATGTATAGGTATAAAGGTTAGTTTAGTGCAATAAAATAGATTTAAAAAATGTTGACATTTCAGCATGCTTTCGATATTATCTCTAAACACAAATTGTGACGAGTGACTGGTTTGGATTGTCTTTGTCACATTTCTGTACACGTACTTAGAAGATCTCCCTTTCCGGTTTAAATCTGTACCCTTTTAACTTAAGCCAGGCTGCATCTGACAAGCGTTGGCCGACACAATTCTATGGAGGAAGCAGCCCCACAATGCGTGTGCAACAGATCGTTTTTAATGACGACCTATTCAGACTGCCACCGACAATTAGCAGACTAACGCGCAGAGAGAGCGCAGTTGATTCATCGGCCGGCGGTCATACGACTATCGTACAACGCAATGAGCACTCGGCTTTATAGTACAACTTTGATCAAGTCATAAATACCAATGTTTTGTTTTATAAATACTTGTCAAAGCTTTAGAGGTAACGTAATAGTAATTTTTAAAAATCTTAGTTGTGAAAAGTGTGAATCTATAACATATTGAAATAATGGCATTACAGGTGTGTAACTGATCAAAGATACCAATTTTGCAAAAGCTTTTTCGCAGGTGTTCCGTTTCTTGGTTTATTTTTTCTGTAAGTGTAGATTTAGCAGTAGTTGCCCTACTGTAGATGTGTACAGTAGTTGAATACTACTATTGTTATTATTATTACTAAAGTAGCAGAACAATATAACAAAATAAACTGTATGACAATTATCAGGTAGTTGAGATAATGGAAAATAAAACCCTTGTCACAAATAAGAAAAAACTGTGTTCTATGTCTGTTTTAAGTGAAAGAGAGTTGGTTAGTTTTATAAGTTATTAATGTCATGTTTATATTTATTAATATATGTAAAAAAATATTTTTTTATTTTGGGATATTTTTTACTTTGATTTGTGTCCTATCTGGTCAAATTGTGTAGATTTCATATGAACATATAAACTCTTTAGTACTATGAGGCCATTGAGATGGTTAGACATCAGATAATTTTATCTCCAATTGGAATAAGGCTAGATTTAGAGAATCAGGTTAATTTTTAGTAATTTCAATTGAGCTGGAATTCAATTGATGATGATGGATCTATCTTAATAAAAAAGGTAAGGGCACATTTTGTTTTATTATTTGACAACAAATCTGCATATAAGCAATAACCACATACACTTGTGTGGGTATTTATAATGAATGTAGTATCGGTATCAACAAACAATAGTAAGATTATAGACATTTTGTGGAAACTTAAGCTTTCATACTTCTTGTAAAATAACTCTACATTTTTTTGTAGTGCAAAACACTAAGGTACAATTAAGAATAATTCAGTGACAAAAAAAAAATTGTCAAAAATCTAATATTTTATCATGTTTCCACAAACTTCTATATTTTACTTTTGTTTCAAAGGTAGGAATGTTTTTTTTTGAATATTTATATATTACTTATTTTAATTACTAACAATGATATTATACATTAAAATTTTAATTTTTCTTCAATAATTCATTCATTCTTCAAGAAGGGTACAGAAGAATCAAAATTATTCTATTAATGTGACACTTGTGTTTTTGGAGAAGTATTTTAAAATTAATGCCCTGTATATTTTATCTTTATGACCTATATAAATATTTTATATAGGTCAAGCTCTTTCAAATTTAAAAGTTAAAACATAAATGGAAAATACTGATTCTTCTTTGTCAATTTTGTTGTTTAATTTTATTAATGTTACTGATCACAATGCATAGCAAAACTAAAAAACATTATATTCAAATATTCGGTGAATAAAAACATCAAACTTTAAACTTTGATATATTCTGTAGTGGTATATGATATTTACTTTTGGCTTAACTTCAAAGAATGTTTTACCTAAGTAATATGTTATTAAATGCACGGTAATATAAAACTATTACAAATTTCAGTTAACTAAATGTTCTTCTTTTTGATAAATATAGTACTGTATTCATAAATCATATAAAGGAATTATTTTATAATTTTACAGTATACTTTTTTATATATCACAGAATTCTTTTCATTTGATAGGTTATGCATGCACACTATTGACATATTATTAATTCACATTGTTGTGTTTGTCTTAAATAGAAGAAAATCTGCATAATGATAGCTTGTGCAGTTCTACTTGGTGTCATCGCAATCATTGTACTCGTCACTCTGGTCTAAGCAAAACCTGCATCATTATAGCTTTGTACTCTCATCACCATGGCAATAGTGTGGGCTACTATATGTGAATGTTATCAGTGTCTGCTTACTGTGTGTTTTGTGGTATCTGTGGTATAGACTATGAACATTGCATCTGGGTACCTGCATGGTTTACTAACTCTCTGCTATTATCTATTATTGTCTGTCTTTGAAATAATAACCATAAAATGATAAAATTCAAGAAAGTAGAATTATACTGCCCTCTAGATAAACTCTAAACCATCTTGTAATGCTATAATTATATATATATATATATAGTTGTATCCGATGTAGTAGGTTCCACGTATGTCTCATACGAATATATAAATAAAAGTAAATACGAAAATGAAGCGATAGCATACGTTGACATAATAGAGACATAAAAT